AACCGATTTGTTGAGGAATTTACTGAAAATTTACTGAGTAATTTTCTGAAAATTTGCTGAGGATTTACTTGGAATTTACTTAATAATTTACTGAGTGATTTGCTGAGTAATTAATTGAGAATTTACTGAGCAATTTACTAAGAATTCACTGCAAATTTACTGAGTAATTTACAGAGAATTTTCTCAGTAATTTACTGAGAATTTATTTAGTAATTTACTGAGTAATTTACTGATAATTATCTGGAATTTACTGGAAATTTACAGAGTAATTTACCGAGAATTTACAGGGAATTTACAAAATAATTTATTGCGAATTTTCTTTGTAATTCATTTAGAATTTACTGACTAATTTACTTAGTAATTTATCGAGTAATTTACAAGGAATTTACTGTGTAATTTACAGAGAAATTTAATGAGATTTTACTGGGAATGTACTGATTAATTTACTGAGTAGTTTTTTGGAATTTACTTAGAATTTAATGCGAATTTACTGAGTAATTTACTGGGAATTTACTGAGCAATTTACTTGGAATTTACTGAGTAAGTTGCTGAGTAATTTAACTAGAATTTACTGAGTCATTTGCTTAGAAATTACAAAGAATTTGCTTACCAATTTTCTGATAATTTACTCAGTAATTTATAGAGAATTTACAAGGACTTCACTTAGAATTTAGTAAGTAATTTTTTGAGAATTTACTGGAAATTTGATGAGTAATTTATTAAGTAATGTGCTGAGAATTTTCTGAGCAATGTACTGAGTAATTTACTGAGAATTTAATGAGTAATTTACTGATAATTTATTGGAAATTTACTGAGTAATTTACTGAGAATTAACTTGGTAATTTACGGTGAATTTAATGAGTAATTTACTACGTAATATACTGAGAATTTACTGAGTAATTTTTTGGGAATTTACTGAGTAATTTATTTAAAATTTACTCGGAATTTACGAAGTAATTTACTGAGAATTTACAGGGATTTTTCTAAGTAATTTATTGAGAATTTACTATGTTTTTACGGAGTAATTTACTTAGAACATACTTGGAATTTATAGAGTAATTTACAGAGAATTTCTGGGAATTTACTAAATAATTTACTAAGTAATTTATTAATAATTTACTTGAAATTTACAGAGTAAATTACTGAGAATTTACACGGAATTTACTGAGAAATTTTTTGAGAATTTTCTGGGAATTTACTGGGTAGTTTACTTAGCATTTCCTGAGTAATTTACTGAGAGTTTATTTAGTAATTTATTGAGAATTTATTCAGAATTTAAAAGTAATTTTCTGAAAATTTAGTGAGTAATTTGCTGAAAATATGTTGAGTAATTTATTGGGAATTTACTGAGTAATTTACCGAGTAATTGACGGTGTAATGCACTGAGTAATTTACTAAGAATTTACTGAGCAATTTGCCAAGTAATTTACTGGGAAATTACAACGTAATTTACTAAGAATTTATTGGGAATTTTCAGAGTAATTTACTGAGAAGTTACTGAGTAATTTACTGAGAATTTATTGAGAATTTACAGGCTTTTAACTGAGTGATTTACTGAGTAATTTACTACCGATTTGCTGAGGAATTTACTGAAAATTTACAGAGTAGTTTTTTGAGAATTTGCTGAGTAATTAATTGAGAATTTACTAACCAATTTACTAAGAATTCACTGGGAATTTACTGAGTAATTTACAGAGAATTTTCTCAGTAATTTACTGAGAATTTATTTAGTAATTTACTGATAATTATTTGGAATTTACTGGAAATTTATTGAGTAATTTACCGTGAATTTACAGGCAATTTACTGTGTAATTTACTACGAATTTTCTTTGTAATTTACTTAAAATTTACTGGCTAATTTACTTAGTAATTTCTCAAGTAATTTACAATGAATTTACTGTGTAATTTACAGAGAAATTTAATGAGAATTTACAGGGAATGTACTGATTAATTTACTGAGTAATTTTTTGGAATTTACTTAGAATTTAATGTGAATTTACTGAGTAATTTACTGCTAATTTTCTTTGTAATTTACATAGAATTTACAGACCAATTTACTTAGTAATTTACAAGGATTTTACGGTGTAATTTACAGAGAAATTTAATGAGAATTTACAGGGAATGTACTGGTGAATTTACTTAGTAATTTTATTGAATATAGTTAGAATTTAATGCGAATTTACTGAGTAATTTACTCGGAATTTAGTGAGCAATTTACTTGGAATTTACTTACCAATTTTCTGAGAATTTCCTTAGTAATTTATAGAGAATTTACAGGGACTTCACTCAGAATTTAGTAAGTAATTTTCTGAGAATTTACTGGAAATTTAATGAGTAATTTATTAAGTAATGTACTAAGAATTTTCTGAGCAATGTACTGAGTAATTTACTGAGAATTTAATGTGTAATTTACTGATAATTTACTAGAAATTTACTGAGTAATTTACTGAGAATTAACTTAGTAATTTATGGGAAATTTACTGAGTAATTTACTACGTATTATACTGTGAATTTACTGAGTAATTTTTTGGGAATTTACATAATAATTTATTTAAAATTTACTCGGAATTTACGAAGTAATTTACTGAGAATTTACAGGGATTTTTCTAAGTAATTTATTGAGAATTTACTAAGTTTTTACTGAGTAATTTACTTAGAACATACTGGGAATTTATAAACAGAGAATTTATTGAGATATTGAGAATTTACTGAGTAATTTATTAAGAAAATGCTTGAAATTTACTGAGTAAATTACTGAGAATTTACTCGGAATTTACTGAGTAATTTACTGAGAATTTTCTGGTAATTTACTGAGTAGTTTACTTAGAATTTCCTGAGTAATTTATTGAAAGTTTATTGAGTAATTTATTGAGAATTTACTCAGAATTTAAAAGTAATTTACTGAAAATTTAGTGAGTAATTTGCTGAAAATATAGTGAGTAATTTATTGGGAATTTACAGACTAATTTACAGAGTAATTGACTGTGTAATGCACTAAGTAATTTACTAAGAATTTACTGAGCAATTTGCCGAGTAATTTACTGGGAATTTACAATGTAATTTACTAAGAATTTATTGGGAATTTGCAGAGTAATTTACTGAGAAGTTATTGAGTAATTTACTGAGAATTTATTGAGAATTTACTGGCTTTTAACTGAGTGATTTACTGAGTAATTTACTACCGATTTGCTGAGGAATTTACTGAAAATTTACAGAGTAGTTTTTTGAGAATTTGCTGAGTAATTAATTGAGAATTTACTAAAT